TCCTTGGTGCACTTCTGTGCAGGTCGTTTGATCTAGACCTCATTGTGAGATAAAAATAATTCCAACTGATTCGTGGATTTTTTGTTCTTTCGCTCTCTCTGATTATATGCTGTTTTTGAGTCTAGTAGGTTCACGTTTATTGTTAACTGATAAATTGCAATATTGGCTTGCATTGATAAATTGCATTATTGGGTTGTTCGATTATACGGCTTACAGCACGACACAACACGATTAAAAGAAAGAAAATTTTAACAAGTGTTTCGTTGATCATCGGAATGCATAGTCGAACAGTCCAACCACGTTTAATCAACTAGCATATGATCAGTATAAACTTAATGGACGGTTTGAACGTATTATGTTTGGTTCTCATTTTGCTCAATTGTGATGTATTTCTTTTTTTTAGAACTCATCTCGTTTTCGTGAAGGAATAATCAAATGCTTCTCTGATATGCAATCATTGTTCGAATAGTAACTGTTTTCGTTTTGTTACTTGCTGGATTGTCTGATTTTTACTTCCATCTAGTCTATTCTGCTTTTAAATGCTTTTTGGCAGTTCAAAAACTTTGCCATAATTTGTTATTAAGGTTTCCCTCTAATTAATTCATAAGAAGTGGCCAGGGTTACCTGTGTACATATGTGCGTTTGCTCAGATCAACACCGGCCATGATGTTAGTCCTTGCATTTATATATATTATGACAGTGCGTCAAACGTGCCTTTCAGGCTACTGCTATGTTGTTTTGTTGTTGCTTGTATTTGTACTCTTGTTTTTGACAAATAGTCAAATTTGTTAGATAGTTTGGCGTCGGTCGTTTTGTTTTTTATGTTAACTACCTATCCATTCTGGATTAAAAGGTTTCATTGTTATGCAGTTTAGTGGATATATTATTATAATGTATGTGCCCTAATGGTACGATATTTCGCAGTGCTGTTAGTGCACATCTGCGAGCTTTCTGGTGTGGCGTGCACACACGAATGAGGCTTCATACTCAGCGTAATTCAATCATTGTAGTCTCACACTCGTAGTAGAAAAACTGCTGCTTATTAGCCTTCATTGTACTGAGATTAACTAAGTAGGAAGTAAGCGAGTGACTTTCAGCTATTATGGTCATGGTGCTGCGCATATTGTTTTCAAAAGTAAATC